ATATATATATATATATGTATATCACTCAATATTTGCTTTAAGTCAAACGTAGATATAAGATATTTCTCATACAACAGATCGTGAATAAATTGGTGGATTAGGAACGATCAATCCTAGAGATGTTTTATACCGTGAAACAAATGGAAAACATCGATTTGATCGTATATATTAGAATTCTATGTTTAATCGATTAAATTATAAATGCACATAAATCATTTTAATATCGAACGAGACTCATCGAACAAGGAAGTCATTCTCGAATGTATATCGATGATCGTACGCAATCCACGTGCTTAGCAAATCCGTGTACAGATAATCTTAAACTTAGTATCCGCCATATAACAGGCGAATCTATTGTCATGCTTTTAGATTCATATATCTTACTATATAAATTAGTCTATCCGTTCCCAAGGTACCATGTACACTGGAATTCGAAGAAGCAAACAATCGTTCTGTATGCCTTTCAAAATCTGGTCTTTAAAAATACATTCTCTCTCTCTCTCTCTCTCTCTCTCTCTCTCTCACATACACTCTCTCTCTTTCTTTCTCCGTCTCTTTTATGTTTCAAACTTTGATCACAACATCGAATTTATAAATATTCCGAATGTGTTATCATATTTCCAGATCAGATGATCGTATCTAGAAATCAAATTACCAAGAATATGATACCATTCCCTCAGACTCGATTGAATTTTACTATTGTACTATATCGTTAGATGAACTTTGTTCCTCGTACATCTGTATAAATACACAACAAAACGTTTCAATGTACATTCGGCATACAATATAATACATTGATTTTCGTGCGGATATAGAAAATTAATATACACATGTAAAATGTAAAAGGACTGTATACATCATAAATTTGTGCGAGACAAAATACGAATAAGACTGAACCATCTTCAACTAAATCCTGATATATAAATCGAGAACAGAGGATCCGACGAAAATGAATCAAGGTACTAATGCAACACGATCTTGCCTACTTTGAAATTCCTCGAATATTTAGTTGTTTAAAATCTTTAAATACAAAGTGTCTCGAAGGGGATACATTTTTAGCATTTTCCAGAGCAAGACTTAGCATTTTACATGACGTTACTGGTATGTACAAAGATTCCTCGACTTTAATTTTTAATTCAAATCGGCACGTATGTAGGAAAACAGTGTGGTCCGATCGTGTAACTTTTCCGCAACGCCTATTTAATATTATTTACTTACATTCAGCGTTGATTGGCATATATTTATACAGTTCTGACGAACTCTAATGTACGAAATCTTCTTCCTTTAAGATCGGAACTTCGTCGCTTTTTCGATTCACCCGCAACGTAGCACCCCATTTCGCACCCCGTCCAGCTTCCGAGGTTGCCATTAAGATCGAGTACGAGTTCGGACTTGCGGCTTCTTTGCTGTAGTGAATCCCGTATAGGAAGTATATCAACATTCCTGCAACAAACGCGCGATTGATAGATCGACGTGCAACGAGATTGATCGAGCGACGAACAGAATCGGCTCTACTTACCGACTACCATCCACATGAGGAATCGCAGCCACGTCAAAGGCGATAAATTGAACATTAGTCCTACGTTGAATAAGATGCTCAAGGCTGGTACCACTGGCACCATAGGTACGCGGAATTTCCCATTAGGAGGACTCTGTTGATGCGCGGAGATAACGAAAAGACCTAGGATCATGCTTGATTAGTCGGATGTACAAATGACGCGTCGAAAAATTGAAAACTTACTTCCGAGCAGCAGTAGAAGAACGTTTGACAGAACGAAATAATCCCACCATGTTGGCGCAAAGTTCGTTTGAGAGATGAGTATAAAGAAGAAACACAAGGAAATGCAACCTGCTATGTACATCATTACGGAACCGGTCACCGCGTCTTCGGGTTTGCAGTTGCCCAAAAAGTTGACCAACCAAACGTATCGCGGCTTAAGTTTACCAGTGCCTTCGCTCAAGTCTAGGAGCTGCAACGTGGGATGGAATATTTATCGTCTCTCTCTCTCTCTCGTTGTTTTATTTTTATCCTACAGATGAAATAACGATTTACCTCGGATTCTGCGGACGTGACGCTGTTCGAGTCGCTGTTGGAATCGGTAGGCGGTGCGACCGACAAACTATTCGGTGTATCAGCGTTCGACGCTGCCGGTGTATTCTTTTCGGGCCGATATCTCAAGATAATTACGCTTGCCGAAACGATGATATAAGCCAAGAAAGTACCGATAGACATAAATTCGAGTAGATGCTGAAGATCGAAGAGCAAGGCGATTAAGCCACTGACAAAGCCGCTGATAGCCAAGTTCAGAACCGGAACTTGAGTGCGTTCGTTAATGTGTCCCAAAAAGCCAAAGAGTAGACCATCGTTTGCCATGGCATACATCGTTCGTGGCAATGAGAACAGGGATCCGAAGAGAGTCGTCGTCATTCCGCACAGAGCCCCGACACTGTTCGAGTATATGCGATTCGCGCGGAAAGATTATTGCAACGAAACTAGTCTCGCTACTATGTTAGGCACGAATTATTCGTACATTCTTCTGACCTTATCACGTATTTGGCCCATGGTACTCCCCTGGACGAGAAAGCCTCGGGAAGAGCTGCCGTGGGATTGATATTCCAATACGGTACGACCAAAGTCAAAGCTGCGCCAACCAACACGTATCCGGTGGTGACGATTGCAATAGAGAATAACGTCGCTCGCGGTATACTGTATCCAGGATCGCGTGCTTCTTCGCTAGAAGTGGCGATAGAATCGAAGCCGACGAAAGCGTAAAGGCACGATGCGGCACCTGTGCGTATAGGATCGAAGGTGTGCCGTAAGTGGACCAAGATTCGTCGCCGATAAATATATAAGCCAAAGAAAAAGTACCTGTCAATACACCGAAAAATCCATACGGCAAGAAGCCTCCATTCTCGTAATTCCAATTGGAAAGTTTCGCGTAAGCAAATCCCAAACCGATCACTAGAGTCATTACACCCAAGTTCACGATGGTGAGTATAGAATTAATCGTTGCGGAACTTTTGACTCCCAATGTTAGCAACATCGCGTAAGCTACACACAATCCGGCGGCTAAAAAGTCTGGAATATTTCCAAGCGGTTCCTCCATGGTGTACCCGTGCATCAATCGCCGGGTGTAATTGCTGATTGATCCTCCTGCCAAAGAATCGACGTACCCGCTCCAGGCTCTAGCCACTGACGCAGCACCTAATTTTGCCGGGCGCAAAAGGTTCGATGAAATTCGCGAGGCGAGAGGAATCGTGATCTAGAGAGAAGATAACTTTACCGGTCATATGCTCTAATATAATGTTCCAGCCGATTACGAAAGCCCAGAATTCACCGACAGTGATGTAGGTGTAAACGTAAGCGCTACCAGCTTTTGGAACGCGTGCTCCGAATTCGGCGTAGCACAGAGCTGCTAACAAGGAAGCTATACCAGCGAGCAGAAAGCTCAAAATCACGCCTGGTCCAGCCTTATCGTGAGCTACCGTTCCTGTTAAAACGTAGATTCCAGCGCCAACCATATGACCAACGCCTGGAAAGACAAACGTAAGTACGTAAGCACGAGCGCATAAAGATCATAAAGTAGCGCGAGAATTCTTTCGTTCCACCGATATTGGACATAAATGTCTTGCTAAGCCGGAACGTTATATTGCGCGTATGCAATTAACATTTTTCCGGTCTGGAAACTACTTTATCGCGCACGGGAATGCGATATCGCGAGAGGTGGTCGTGCACGTCCTTATGACTAAAATAGCACAAAAAGCGATGACTTACCGAGCAGTGTAATATCGAACGTGGAAAGACATCTTTTCATTGGAGTCTCGAGTAAATCGCCTTGAAGCTTTTTCGCGCGATTCATTTTGACACACAAGCCGGACATAACGTGTCCGAGGATCATCCGGCGCACCGACGGCATTTTCTCTTATCTTAAACATATTTCTGTTAGAACCTTTCGAAACCAACTGCAATGCGTTTCGCTAGCGTGTGATCGTCTTTAACGAGCTCGGTACATTCGGTGAATCGAATGTCAAACTGCCGCTGTACCGTAATACCGATAAAGAACACTCGAGAGCGAACATTCGCTTGGCAAACGCATCGCTATTGCGTTAGATCCGGTGGTTTTATTAACCATTTCTCTACTTACATGGAATCGACGATATATTCGTATTCACGATTGTTCGACGTTCGAACGGTAGTGACAAAATCTGAACTGCGACGAACGAGATCACGACAGACGCTGAAATCTCCAGAGAAGTCGCACGGCGCCTCCGTTAACACGCAGGCTCGGATATTCGATCGATTCAGCTGTGATAGAACTATTTATGTCACTCAACCACAAGAGTATGAATGAAAATTTTTCTTTTCTAATTGACATTGTCGCGATGATAACCACGCTTTATGAAAACGTATTCAACGTATGCACGTTTCTTAATTAACATCGGGCAAATTGATTTTCGTTTCCTCCTGTTTTTCTACCATCGATTTATTTATTTACGAAACTTTCTGAATTTAGTTCTACGCAGCGCTACGATTATCGATAGATTACGCCAAGATTATACTAGATCCATTCGTAACGTGTTTCTGCAACGAAACGCAGTTGAAATTTATTGCAATGATATGCGAAAAGATAATGGTAAATAAGGGAATGATACCTAACGTAGACATAATTTATTTCCTAACCATAATTACTACTAGATTGTCGATGAAGGTTCCAAGATAATCGACGTTATTGACACTTTCTTTCATATCATGGAATTTTCAAGTGGCAAAATGAATTGTACTTGTTAAAACAGATGTCTTCCTGTTTGAGTCATTCGTCCCGGAACGGTGCCATTCAAGTGTTGCGGACGTAACCGTAGAATAACGGTGGCTCCGCATGAGGGCAGCACCGTCTGAGTTGTTGCAATATGTACGTACTTTACCGTTCGATAACGAAGTATTCAGAGTCGCATTTTGTTAGATGTGAACTAACTTCTTGAAGGATATTTGTTCAAGGTAGATCAGTTTCTCGTAATCGTCCTAAAATATCGTTCATGCAGTGAAACAGTGCTCGCACGGAAGAGAAACGAATTTCAATGTTTCCCGTTAAATTAGTGGGTTAAAACGGTGTTCTAACCTCTTTCTTTGATTTCGTGCAGATGAAAACAATAAATATCTATCGCTAAGAAGCATTTTTTAATAACTTTGATACAGTGTTATGTCGATATTAACCGATTCATTCGCGCGTTTCTCGTACAATATTTGCTACTGATCTAGATATAAATGAAAAATAACAGAAATTGGCAGACAGTTAGACTTGTTTGTATCTTGATCCAAGGTCGATTGACACTGTATTTCCTTGTGTATTCGTTTAACTGGATGAACAACAAGAATATAACGTAGAAACTGTAAGAAAATGATACATCTTTTATGTGAAAAAGGGAATGGTGCAATAACGATGAACATATTGTAAAGTAGGGCAACAGAGAAACAGCTTGCAACTATGATATTTGTCTGAGCTATGCTACCGTTGTAGTATAACTTGGAGTAGACGAGTGATCGTTAATATATAATCGCATGTTACCAGATAACAAAATAAACATGAGTTATCACCGTGGAGGGGGTAATAAACCAAAAGGCTTTGGGTTTGCCGGCTTTCAAATGACCGGTGCAAAGAAAAGCAGCTCAAACATACCACCACCACCGCCAAATTCTACTCTAAGCAAACAGGGCTATCACACCATGAACTCTATCACTGAAAATGCCTTATCCGCTTGTTGGGGAATGCCAAAAAAGCGTAGCAAAACAGAAGAAGAGTAAGTATATACTTACAGGAAAATTTTAAGAGGAAGAGGAGAGTATAAAAAACAGGAAGGATGAACAGATATAAAGGTAACGAATAAATTTAGATATTTCGAGGACGACGATGATCCTCCACCATTTTCCTTGGAATATATCCCGGCCCCTGGATCTCCTACCTACGATTGGATGAAGAAATCGACACCAAAGGACGACAGCGACAGCGAAGAAGATCCGTTAGATGCGTTTATGGCTGGTATAGACGCGGAAGTGAAACGAAACAATTACGAGGCCCAGCTCGCGGAAGACGAGCGTAAGGAGGAGAAGTCTAAGGGCTTCAGAGCAGACATCGATGGCGAGGACGACGAGGAAAGCTACTACAGGTGAGTAAATTCCGTTAATTTTCATGTCGCGAGGAGAAGAAGTTTGACAGAGAAAAAGGATGGAGAGATATCGGGTTATTGCTTTGATAAGGTATATGGAAGAGAATCCAACCGCCGGTTTGCAGCAAGAGGAGTCTGACCAAGAAATCGAGTACGACGAAGACGGCAATCCTATCGCACCTCCGAAAAAGAAAGAGATCGATCCTTTGCCACCTGTCGATCACAGCGAGATACAATACGAACCTTTCGAGAAAAATTTTTACAACGTTCACGATGAAATTGCTAGTTTAAGTAAACAACAGATCGACGATTTAAGAAAGACTTTGGGCATAAAGGTATCTGGCCCGTCTCCGCCGAATCCGGTTACCAGTTTCGGTCACTTTGGTTTCGATGATGCGTTAATAAAAGCTATTAGAAAAAACGAATACACCCAACCTACCCCTATCCAAGCACAAGCAGTCCCAGCCGCACTCAGCGGCAGGGACATAATAGGTATAGCAAAAACGGGTAGCGGTAAAACAGCAGCTTTTATTTGGCCAATGTTGGTGCACATTATGGATCAGAGAGAATTAAAGGAAGGCGATGGACCTATCGGATTGATTCTTGCACCCACGAGAGAACTGTCGCAACAGGTACTTGTTACGTTAAGATAGCTTAAGGTGTTTTCTATACAGGGGTAGTTTTAGACGAAAGGTCACTGCGTTCGTTGTATTCGTAGATTTACCAAGAAGCAAGAAAGTTTGGGAAAGTATATAATATTCAAGTGTGCTGTTGCTACGGCGGTGGCAGTAAGTGGGAACAGAGTAAAGCATTGGAAGGGGGTGCGGAAATAGTAGTCGCAACACCGGGTAGAATGATAGATTTAGTTAAAATGAAGGCAACGAATTTGACCAGAGTAACGTTTCTAGTATTGGACGAAGCCGATAGAATGTTTGATATGGGTTTCGGTAAGCACATCGCTGTGGTATAATTTAATAATAACGAAACAGGGATAAACACGTTTTCTTCATCGATCGTATCCGGTTGTCGAGGAACTTTAGTTTCTATTAATAATACTTTTACTTTGCTTGTTACCGCTCTGTTTGATTTCAGAGCCACAAGTGCGTTCTATATGTAACCATGTAAGGCCAGACAGGCAAACGTTGTTGTTCAGCGCAACTTTCAAAAAGAGGGTAGAAAAGCTTGCCAGGGACGTTCTAACTGATCCTGTTAGGATAGTCCAAGGGGACGTCGGCGAAGCGAATGCCGATGTCACGCAACACGTGATAGTCTTCAATAATAATCCAACCGGGAAATGGACTTGGTTGTTGCAAAATTTGGTTGAGTTTTTAAGCGCTGGTAGTTTATTGATCTTCGTAACTAAAAAGGTCAGCGGTCGTGTTAGCGCATCGGTTCAATAAGATACGAAAGATGTCGAATGCATATTTATCAACTATTTTTCGTTTCTTCCTTTCTCTCTTGTACCGTAGCTGAACGCGGAGGAACTCGCAAACAATCTCAAGTTGAAAGAATTCGATGTTCTGCTATTGCACGGTGATATGGATCAAATAGAAAGAAACAAAGTAATAACGGCTTTTAAAAAGAAGGAAGTCAGTACTTTGGTTGCTACTGACGTTGCTGGTAAAAAGTTATTTTTTTAGCTGTTGCTTTAAGCCGAGTGTCGAGCGAACTGACTGCTACTTAACTTCCTTTTAATAACACGCTTTAATTTTCTCGTAGCCCGAGGTTTGGACATTCCACATATCAGAACGGTCGTAAATTATGACGTTGCGCGAGACATCGATACTCACACGCACAGAATAGGTAGAACGGGTCGTGCAGGGGAAAAGGGAACAGCGTATACGCTTGTAACGGAAAAGGACAAGGAATTCGCTGGTCATCTAGTCCGAAATCTGGAGGGTGCGAATCAAGAGGTACCAAAGAGTCTCATGGATCTAGCGATGCAAAGCGCTTGGTTCCGAAAGTCAAGGTTCAAAGGTGGAAAGGGGAAGAGTTTAAACGTTGGAGGTGCTGGACTTGGATTTAGGGGTCGACCAGAAGCTTCGTCGACTTCGGTATCGATTATTTAAAATTTCCTCGGTTCTCTTTTATCGGATTTCCTTTCTCGGTACAGTAGTTTTCAATTATTTCGTTCTATCGTTTAGAGTTGCGGTTCGTCGTCGCAAGGATCGAAGGATATAAGCGAAGTCGTTAAGAAGTTTGAGAGACATGGACCGGGTAGCGATCGTTTATCGGCGATGAAGGCAGCGTTCCGTAGCCAATACAATTCTCAGGTAGGTCTTTGGTTCCGGCGGCGATATTTTGGGTAAGATGGGTAAATTTGGAATAACGTACGCGTGGAATTGGTTTACAGTTTCGAGCATCGTCGGATCACACGTGGGAACAAACTATAACGCGGCCTTCGGTGATAATGCCTCCACCGCCACCTGTACCCCCGAAACCGAATACGGAGCAATCAAAATCTCAGGATTCACGAGCCTCGAACACCGGCGGAGAGAGGAAGAGAGTGAGAAAGAGTCGATGGGAATAAACAGTGGTGAACGGAAAGCTACGATTATTTTGTGTATATTAATATTATTATCGCTGATAATATGCGAGCCAGCGACGATGCCGAATTGTTTTTATATTACGATAAGATTTAATTTTACCAAGTTTTTGTTCAGTTGAAATCTCTTCTTTCACCTTCATATGCGCGATTTGGGGGGAAAAGACTGGACGCCGTCCCAATTACGTCCCGATTACGTCCCGATTACGTCCCGATTACGTCCCGATTACGTTCCAAGACAATGGATCAAGGAATTGGCGTCCAAAGCGTGTATATCAGCAAGATTTCTCGCGGGAATCGATAGATCGCCTCGTTAAAATATCGGTGAGAATACTACGCTTTTCTTAAGATCGATAACGCGTGATACTTAACGGCAAGGAGTCTTTATTGAGATATCTTCGATACAAAATTAAACGAATCGTTTAAAAATCTAAATGACATAGGCTACTAGATCGGCTTTAATAACATGCTAAATACTACGATATAATTGAGTTATCATTTTCGGCGTACCAATTGAGTCGTGATTGCCACTACTTAAACGAGCTTCGATAGGTAACAGAGCATTAATAGAGTTATACAAAATTGTATCGTGAAAAGATAATCTCTCTCTCTCGTGAGTGAGCAATTTTTTTTTCTTTTTTTTTTTTTTTTGAACGCATGACTCTCGCGTTCCTCGTAATAACGTAAGTTAAGCTCTGAGTTTTCTGTTACTTAATTCCTGTTTAATCTGAATTTAAAGTCGATACCATCGACGTTTGCTGTCCTGTCGATTCGATGAGCACCATTTTTCGGTTGGAATTAGCTGCTTCGTTTTCTCGGTACCCACGTGTCTACCGATACTGCGCACTTCGCGAAAAAAGTAGTTCTCGAAGATCGCTCGATATGGAGATTAAGTCAAGGATAAGGCTATGACGATCAATCACGTTCGATCGCCTTGTTTGACCACGCGACGCCCAGATGGGATGTTAATGACAGGTTACCGTTTTGCCGTTCGACTATTTGATGACACACGCTTGCAGATTATATTTATCCGCCACTTTGGTCCACGGTTACGGTTCTCGTCGCCACGGTGTCGTTTCACAGAGAATCGCGAACGACTCGTCGAGGATAGTAATCGCGAATCGCTCGTCCGATTTCTGGTCGAGCGAAGAAAAGAATTGGCGAAAAGAGAAATTTGAACCGTTCGGTTTACCCTTTTCCGGGCTGAGTCAGCGCGATGTCGAGAAAGGCCAAGTTCTAGAATCAGTCTTCGTGCAAGTGAAGTCTACTTCTATGGATTGATGTATTGAGGCATGGCAGGACTGCTTTTTCTTCTAATTTTGCCATTCTGTTGCGAACCGTTCAACTGACCGACCACAGGCTTTTTGTTCGCGTCGCTGTTCTTGCTGAATTTTTCCATCGCTCTGCTGTAAGAACCCGTGCAAACTCTGCCCCAAAGTCTTTTGTCCTCTGCGCATTGTTTATTCCTTCCCTCGCTCGAAGTTCTCTGAATCTCGTTTCTCCTTTGCACCTTGTTGGTCTCTTCCTTTTCCAAGGATACGTTCGATCCCACTGCACCGCGTTGAACATCTTCCCAGCAAGCGTTCGCATCGGAATGCACGCTGGATGGTGTCGGGCAGCTGCTTTCGCTAGACAAAGAGGAGGATCTCACGAAAGAGGTCGGTACAACGAGTTTCATCTTGTGATCCTCTTCCTTGGGAGTCGCGGTCAAAGGTGGCTCGCTTCGAGCCCGACTGCTCGATCGGCTCTCACCCTCGTTCTTGTCGTTCAGATTGTCGTTCAACATTATTTTCGTAATGGACGTCCTCTTTCTCAAATTTTCCAAATTTTCCTTCGGCGTATTTTGAAAACTGTCCACCCTTTGCAAAATGTCCTTTAAATTTATATTGACACACTCGGTGTCGTACGTCGGTTTCGATCGATCCGCCTTTTGCATCTTTGGGTTCGATTTGCCGTTCGCGAATATGGAAGTCGCCTTCTTAGTCGAGTCCTGAGAGTCGTCTTTGATATGGCACGTGACTTCGGGATAGATATAATTTGGCAGTCTTTCCTTCTGGCGAATAGCAGTCGCGATTATCGAACGATCGGGATTATTCAACGTTCTTTGAGATTTTTCACCGGTTACTGCCTCCGTTACGTTCGACCTGGCTCCCTTGACGCACTGCTTGTACTTTTCGTCTATCGTGGTATCGACGTCGTCTTGAGTCGTAGCTTTCTCGAAAATCGCGTCTCCGTTGATTTCGATCGTCGGTGGATTCGGCCATCGTTCCGAACACGACTCCACTCGCCATTTATCCTTTCGTTCCTCCGAATCGACGTCGTTGTCTTCGTCCTCGTCTTCGTTGCCCGAATCGTTGAAGTTCTTCAAGATTCCCTCGTCTTTCTCGTTCTTCTTTCTCAGTTCTTCCCAATTCTTTCGAGGCTTGTAACTCGTTTTCCGCCTGACGATCTTGCTTTCGCTGATGTCGATGTCCGGTATGAACAGTCTCAAAGCTTTTGTCCCGGTCGGAAAGGTAACCTCGTTCACTCTCTTCTCGGTCATAATCGCTTCCAGACTCGTCCTCGAGGCGACCTCCTGATGCTTGTTAAACGCGGACACGAGCTGCGCGACCGTGTACTTTGGTTCTTCGTTTTCAGATTCGGTCGATCGATCCTCCTTGTCGTCCGACGTTGCAGAATTGTTGGAACGACTCGAAGCGTCGGAATGTTGCCGTTGACACGCTCGTTTCCCGGCTACGAGATTCGATTCGTTATCGCGATTATTTATCGGCGTTTCGTCCGAGTCCTCGGTCAACGTGTCCGATTCGATCGATTTCAACGAATCCAAATTTTCCTCCGACTCGAAAGCTCGTCCCGTCGACGTTTCCAGATCTTTCGCTTCTTCTTCTTCTTCTTCTTCTTCTTCCTCCTCCTCCTCCTCCTCTTCTTCCTCCTCCTGCAAGTGTATCTCGGACGATCGATCGTCAAGCTCGTTCGCGATTTTCGACTCCGTCGCTGTCGCTGTTTTGGAAACGTCTTTGTCCTCGTCATCCGGATGCTTGGTCGTTTGGATGAAAGTCGAGATGTCGTCGCAAGACCGACGATCCACGATGTTACACGTGGCAAGGACCGATGCGTCCGATGCATTGGACGCGTGTATTTCGGCACCTAGCCGTTTGAAAATCGGTATCATATCCTCGGTTTTGGCTCGTTGATAGCTCTTCCTTCTTCGTTTAAGGCACTCGAGGCTTCTGTATATGTCCAAAACCCCTTGAGACTTGGACAACGATCTCAGGCCGTACAATTTCTCGCGCGATTTGCTAATTACAGGATTTATCGTCATTCGCGGTTGTTGCAACGAAGCCGAGGTTGCCGAAGAATTTTCATTGAGCAAACACGCCTGAGACTGAATTCGATTTAGGCTTCGTATTCTAGAAAGAAGTCCTCGGCTGAGACCGTGATCCAGGTTCGCTTGCGATCGACTCTGCGCTCGACTGAGCAAGCCTTGGGTCTGTTCTTTGTTGAGCAAGTAGCTCTGGCTAGCGCAGCTGAGATTCGTCCTGGAAGAGTTCAAGCTCGTTCGAGAATCGGCTGGACTTGGAAAATCTTCGCTACCCTCGAGACTAAATCGGCTTCCGGTGAGACGGTGACTCAGGCACATCTCGCTTTGACTCAGCAAACAGTCTTGCAAACTTTGATCGGAATGATTCGACTCTTGAACGTCGCACGATAGATTCGCTTGACTGCTCGCCTGGCTCAAAAGCGCCGCTCTTCTTAGATTCTCTCGACCGACAACCCGTTCCAGGAGAACCTCTCTCGATTTCGACAGGTATCTTCTGAGATGAGGCGACGCTTGCGTAGGTGCGCCGCGTAGCCAATCGTGACGCAGGCATTGTTTCGCGGTCATTCGTGCGCTGAAACATACGCGAAATATCCGTTTGTTTTTCTTCTTTACGAGACGCGTGCTCGCGGATAATTTTATAGCTCACCTCGGGTCCAGCACCAAAAGCTTCGCGACGAAATCTTTCGCCTGCGCCGAGATGTCGCCGAACAGTTCTTCGGGGAAATCAACTTCGCCCAGGGATATGTTTTGAAACGTTTCTTGATCGGTTTCACCGCCGAAAGGAGAGAATCCCGTTAAAAGCACGTACGTCGTTACGCCCACGGACCTTGAATAATCGCAACGTTGCTCCAACTATTTCATCTCGATAGGATTAAACGCGTAATTGTATTCTATTTCGTTTACTTACCACATATCGGCGGCCAACGTGATGGGTTCGTAGTGGAGAATTTCGGGCGCTGAAACGAAGAAAAATCATCGAACGCGTTCGTCGAATTCGTTATATCACCGACGACGTCACGTCTTTATTTACGAACGAAAATCGATTCAAAATTCGTGGGCGTCGATCGAATTTTTATACCTCTCTCATGGATAGGTCGCGACGATCCTCCTCTCTCTCCTCTCTCTCTCTCTCTCTCTCTCTCTCGTTGATTTGGAGAAACGTCGAGACCGATTAAGATATTCAACTGTTACGCGCACACTCCGTTGTTGGACGAATCGATACGATCGACGGAGGGATAATGGCGCGTGTCGATTATACGTATCGTCAACCATGCGGCCTACGACCAAGGACCTCTCCGCGCGGAATAAGCTTCGTTACGCGACGCGTTTCGAGAGAAACGTAACGACGCCGGGGACAAAGAGAAGGATTCATCGATCGCGCGGTCGCTCGAAATTATCGTTCCGGAGGAGAAATCGTATCGGAGACTCGATAATCGACAACGACCCTCGACGAAACTCGATTTAAATCCGATCGAGCGTAAATCGCAGGATCAATCAAAATTTACGATACCGATCTGGGACTGGGAATCGCGCGCGCTTCGTAAAAGCGAACGAGGCGACGATTCGTTGGCCGATCGATCGAACAGGATTCCGATAATTCCTCCTTCTCGATCACGCGCGGAGACGTCAATGCCGATTACCGATGAATGGCTGAAACGTCGAGATTTAAAACGCCGACTGCAATTACCCGTCGCGTTTCCGTACGCGTACACCGCGCGGTTCACCGATCCCGCACTCCCGCTCGCGTTTATCAAAACTCCACATCGACAGCTTCGATGACAACGCGATCGCGCAATCAGGCTAACGTGTCAATTAATATCGATTATGTTCGCGATCTTGCTCGGACCAGGTAGATCGTCAATTAGCGAGGCAAGATATCGATTGGTGGCAATTAACAGGGAACGACCGAGGAAAGTGCCGACACGCCTGTTTACCTGTCCGTTCGCGGCAAATTCGCGGCAAATTCGCGGTAATCTCGCGATACAAAGTAACGACGCGTCGGGTAGCAAAAACCCGGCTAATTTATATTATTTTTCGACGGACGGAAAAGAACGATCCGGGCGAAGAACGACCGCTTACCCACGTAATCCGGTGTTCCGAGGATCTCTCGAACCTCTGTCCCCTCTAATATCACTCTCGAGATCTCGAAGTCGCACAGCTTCACCTCGCATTCCGGAAAGCTGCCCATCATTACCAAATTTTGCGGCTGAAACGTGAAAGGAAGAGAAAAAAAACATGGACCATGAGTCGGTGAGATTGAACGTTGCGTAGAAATGGTGATCGGCAAGTTTACGCGGAACCCGTGACACCTGTGCGAAGCGCCGATAATACGGCGATCGATCGTTGGATCGATCGGTCGATCGATTGGAGCGCGCGATGATTCACGATTATCTCGTTCCAGGTATCTCGTGCTCCGCGCCAAGGAAGAAATCACCTATGCCCGTTCACGTTCTTCCGTCACGCGTTTTGCGAATCCTCCATGACGTATACGTATTCGCGATCCATGCGAACGAGGCTGTCGTCGAGTCACGGGTAAACGCGATTATTTTCTTTCCTTTTTCATCGCCGTGATATTTTCTACGAATCGGCGCGTACCGACGCGAACGAGGGTCGGAAAGGAAGAGGAGAAAGGCGCGGTAAAGAAGGAAATCGAAGGGAAATGGAGACAGGATTGGCAAAGAGCGGCGCGCGTGCGCGACTGCGAACAGAGCGCGTGGTTCGTGATTCGCGCTTCATCGAGAAGTACATCGCGATCATTTACATAAACACGGTAGATGCTGTTACGATAAATTCGAGCGCGCACGGGGAATAGAATGGAATATTAAGTTTCCCGGCGAACAAGCGCGATCGAGGAACGAGGATCGAGGCTGCGATCTCCGGCGCGTAACCGTTCGCTGCAACGCGAACGCGATTTTTTTTCGTTTCAGCGGAGAGGAGGACGAAGCATACGCGGTTTATTTGCACGACGAGAGTCGCATAAGAATGCAACCTATATTCGCGATCGAGCGTCGCCTCGCGAAGCCTAGATTTCCCAACGGCCGGTTCTTCGCGTTTCCTTATACACGTCACCCGTTGCGAGTTCCCAGCCTAACAAGTACACGCAGTCGGATCGCGATCGTAACGCTGCAGACCCACGCCCGTTCCTCGCACCGCTCTCGAATCACCGCTTAACGAGTGATCTACGAAATACGCGATTGCGTAAACGGTTCGCGCGGAGACGACGCGACGCGACGCGACGCACCGCGCGTATCGATCCAGAGAGAGAATCTTCCTGGCTTTGAAACGTCCAGGTCCTTGGAGATGTGACTCGCCGGCGTGGGCGAATCTGAATATTCAAAGTATCTCTCGATAGTCTCGGCACGCGGCTAATAAATAATGACAAAAGACGTAAAAATAATTCTCGGGCCGGCGCGAGATGCGCAATTCCGCGAGCGTGGTCGAGCGTGGCCGAGCCGGAGCGCTACGAATCCCCGAACGCTCGTGTCTCTCCCGTTGATCCACCTCTGTCTCTCTCTCTCTCTCTCTCTCTCTCTCTTATTTCGGACAAACGTATCGGCCAATACCCACGCGATCGAATCTCGCCACGCTGCCCAAACGACTTTCGTCGGCGTGGGCCGCCGAGCGTATTCCTTTTCGACGCGTCGAAAATCCGTCTCTTTGCCGTGATGTTTACGCGCCGCGGCGCAAAGTCCAGTTCCGCGCGCGTCCAGTATTTTCCCTTTTCGACGCGTGGTCGAAACGAGTCGGCGACGCGTCCAATGAAATTTCCACTCTGCCTCTGGGCCCCGACCAACGCCACGCGAGACACCCAGAGGTGCTCCAGTTACGGCCAACAGGTTGGCTCGCTCGCATCTACGGCCACGCGAACAGACTCTAGCGATTCATCTGGCTGGAACCGTCGCGGTTGATCCGGTTGATCCGGGAACGCGATTGTTCCTTTACGTGGCCAGGGAACGCGTGGGAGCTGCTTCTCGAAAATCCACCGATTCCTGTCCCCTTTCATCTCCGTTTCCTATCGTCTGGACGTAACCAGCTGCCTAGACCAGAGCCGCGCGAGATCCCTCGCTTTCTCTTTCGCGCGAATTTCGCGCGAGTTATCAACGCGAGTTGCTCCAGTTATGGCGGTCGGACATAGGTATCGAGCGTTCGACGAGATAGGAACCAGGTGTGATTCACCGACGAAGTCAGGGCGTGGTCGCTGCTCCACCGCCAGGAGCGTGGGGTCTCGCCGCGTTCCGTTTTTCGCTGGTCGCGAACCAGCCGGGGAGCACGGTCGTGCGAGCTAGTGGCGATTCAGCGTTTGCTCCGGCCGAGACGATACGATCGCGTTGATTCGGCGGTATTCGGCGGTGAATACAAAGAAACGCCGCTGGCTCGCATCGCGCACGGTCCGCCAGCATGGCAGGCCAGTATCTGGCGCGTTCCTCTCCCTTTGATACGCGCCCCGCTATATCCAAATACGGCGGTCGAGCGTTTATGGAGCGCGGGAATAACGCGGGTTCGAGCATCCTCTCTCGATCCGTGGCAGCCCGCGAGAATCGTGAATCGCGCGCCATCACCGACGCGCTCGAGAATTTGCACTGGTCAAGGTTGCTCATTGCCGCGTCGCGGCGCGCCGTCCGTTTCTTCGTCTCGGCTAAACTCGCGAAAAGCTTAAACGGATCGAGTTTTCGTCGCGAGCGCAATTTACGAGAACGAGTCGGAGCGGAGCGCGAAGATAATCGAGTTGGTAACGCGACAGGCGAGTAAATAACGCAAAGAGAATGTCCGAGGCGAAATACCGGCGTCGTCGCGGCGCGATTTACGTCGCGGATAAAAGTCGGCACGCGCGCTCGGCATCGGACTGGCGTGTGGAGCATAAACCGTATCGGGTAAACGCCTTGGTCGAGGATGTTGTTCCACGGGCAAAGGCTCGTCGACCTTTCGCGAATTTTTCCGCGAGGATAACGAGGAGGAATCTTTTTTTATCCGCGCAGAGGCGAAAAGAGGAATCTCGGACGACCCCGAATCGCGGCCCGCGACCGATATCCACGCGATTCCTTCGCGGAGGAAAAGCAGAGTCGTAAAAATCGAGGAGGTTGGCGGATTCGACGTCTTCGAACTCTTAATTACGCCGACGCGATACTTGGTCGAGCGTGGCAGTTTGGCGTAAAAAGGCCGGGAACGGAGTTCGCGAGACCGGTCGTGGTTGTCGGCCGCGCGCTGCTCGCGTCCGCGAGCCGAGAATACAAGGCACGGGCTTTATTCGACGACACGCGGCGGTCTGTCGCCGAGTACGCACCGTCCTCTTGTCTTTTTACTTTGTTCTCCATCGAGCGTTCGCGCTAAAAGGCATTCGCGTTTCCGCGATCGCCGGAATAAGAGGTGGCCGGGTGTATCGAAAGGACGCGATAAATTGGTCGGGAAGGAGCTGGAACAGGGCCGAGTCGCGCGTCGGGCTTTCGTTTCCAGTCGTGTCCGAGTTCCAGCGACTTTTTTCCTCGCGTTACGCCTCTCTCCGCTCGCCGCTCGCCGCTCCATGCGCCAGCGATGAGCTTCGACGGGCAGTCTCGCGCGGCGCGTATCTCTCCCTTTTGTCCGGGGCTCGGGAGACTCGAGAGGTTTTCATTTCGATTCCGTCTTACGCTTGACGCGACGCGAAGCTTTGGGAAAATCGGGCGGAGAGAAGGAAATGGTCGGAACCCATTTATCGGGTGACGCGACGACGACGCCCGTCGAGAACAACGGAGTCGGTTCCGGGATCCGGATATACGAGAAGCGTGACAAGTTCGTTTCGACCTTTTATGGGTCGAACTTACCTTGATGTCCAAATGGGCGATATTTCTCTGGTGGAGGTAGGCGAGTCCTTCTACTAGCTGCCTCACGAAGTGTACCACGTCACCTTCGAGGGGCACCAAATCGCCGTCGATGAGCGTCTGTAGATCGCCTCCGGGAGCGCTGAAAAGTTCAAAGTTCGATTCGTTACGGTCACGCGTCGCGCAACGTTCCTTCAGCCACGGTCTCTCTACTCACTATTCCATCACGAGGATGATCTCCTTTGGCGTCTCGTAGACGTCGTGCAGTCGAACGACGCGTGGCGATTGCGAGCAGAGCGACAGCAATGCGATCTCGTGTCTCAGCTCGGCGCTGCAGTCCGCGTTGAATCGACTCCTCGACGAGTACTTGGCGGCGTAGAGGATCCCGGTCGCCCGGGATCTGCACCGATAAACTCTCGCCCATTGTCCGCTGCGAAACGATCAACGTCGCGATCGGTTAGTAATCGATCGTTCGGCTCTCGCGGCGTATCGACGAACGCGGTACGAGACGAAATTTCGTTGACCGTCAGTCGCGGGTATTTTTACGATCGTCTCGAAGAATTCCGAGCGTCTCTGTTCGACAAGGTCGACGCCGCGGCGCCTCGCAAGGTCCCCGCGTAAACGCGTCTTTGCCTGCGCGGTATCGCGCGTCGACGTCTTCGTCGGCTTGAACCGACGCGCTCTCCCGTTTCTCGAAACTTCCATTCGATCCTCCGCGTCCGCTTCCGTTTCCAACGACCCGCCCTGCCCCCTGCCCCGTACGCCGCTGCGGCGATTCCTACGGCGTAAATTTTCCTCGAGAGAGTATCCCGGAAGAGTCGAGCGGCCCGTAAATTTCCAGGGAGAAAGTAGACGCCCTTGCGCGGTGATCGTCGAATCGCCTCCTTCCCTCGACATCGCAATTTCACCGACGTCCTTTGCTCGGGCCACGGATAAGCGCGACAGTCGTAACGAGCATCCGATAGCGGGTGCAATTAACTTTAATCGGTTTCGATTCGAACGCACCGGCCTATACCGGACCGACCGGAACCTCGATTTTCCAGACCCCTCTCGCCACCCTCGGCCCAGTGGCATTCAAGGCCCGCGTCTAAAAGTAATTACGCGCCAGGTGTGCGTCTCGGTTGCTCGCGATACGTACGTTCTACGAATTCTCGAATACGATCCGGAAATCTTTGCCGAGTTACCGCGGAATATTTCGCGGATAATCGACGCGATAGCGAAACGCGTTCCGGACGCGAGATGGACGGGCGTCTTCTTACTTCGCGAACGGCTTCGGGTCTATCTCGTAGTGCTCCGCGATGGGTCCCGTCTTCACTACTCTGGCCAGTTGCGCCTCCTGCACCAGCACCAACCCCTCCTTCACGTGTTTCTCGCTCCACTGCACCCTGCACCGTCCTCTGCATCGCTCCTCGTTCCCGGTCCTGTCGCCTCCGCGTTTCGCTTTCGCGTTCGCGCACTTTCCCGACGACGCTTGCAAGTTTCGACGTTGCGGCCGCGGCGACGTCTTCCTCGCTGACGACATCGTCGGTGACTGATGATGGTTCGGCTGATAAATCATGTTATCCGAGTTTCCCCTCGTTGCCTCGCGAAACTCGTTCAACGAGCGCGATCGAGCATAACGATAGACGGCCGTTCCTGGAGTAGGGCAGGTGTGATCGCGAACGACGCTCGGACCGAGTGCCAGGGCATCGAGCGCTGGAACAACAAATCGAACCGCGTTAGAAAATCGCTTCTTTCGCCATCATCCGCCTATACGTATATATCTTTTACCTGTGCTCGATTTCCCGCGACAACCCAGAGAGCGAGAGAGAGAGAGATGGAGGGAGAGAGATAGAGGAAGAAACGGGCTGCTCCAACTTTCGATTTCGATTTCGATTTCGACTTCGATTTCGGTGTCGGATGCACGGCAGACAAGGAGCTGGTTAGAGTCGGAGAACTGGCGTAGAAACTGGCGAATACGCGGAATCAAAGGTTCACCGAGCCGGCAGAGGCATCGCTGGTGAAGAGAACGGCGTTGGACGACGTTCGCGACGATGTTCGCATCTCGAGGCGAGCGACAGGGACCCCGCGCGGTTCCTGCGAGTGATCGCGCGAGCTTGACGGTCGAGCGCCGCGAATGAAACTGGCCACGAGTCGGCGAGAGACCACGACGACGAGCTTCGGCTTCGTTTGCTGCTCGATTCTCTTTTCTTTCTTCCCGCGGAGTCGCTGGACCATAGACTACTATCGTTTCTTCTCGTTCCCTCTTTCCTTCGAACCGTCCTCCTTGGTCGCTCGTCTCCAGCCTCCCGCCTCGCGCGCCTTCCTCGACCTCCCTGCCGCTCCTGCCTCGCCAGCCTCTCCAGTCACCGAACTCCGTCTCGCGAACCTCTCTTGTCCCTCCTCCTCCGTCACCTCCTCCACCTCCTTCTCCTCTTTCCCAGCGCGGACACGAGAGCGCGGTTGTCGTTGTTGCTGTTGCTGCCGTTGGCTGCTGCTGCTGCTGCTGCTGCTGCTGATGCTGATGCTGCTGCTGCTGCTGCTTTTAGTGCTGTTTACGCTGCAACGCTGCTGGTGTACACCGTCTCTGACGTAGGTGGTATCCAGTCGAGGCACGCGATCGCGCAGCGTAGATGCCCGCCAGCCGGTGCATTATGCATGTGCATAAGTTGCGCTTTCAGGGAAGGAGAAAAAAAGAAGAAAAATTCTAGCGATCCGAGTTCGCTTCCTTCCTAGGTTCTGTTGTTCTCTCGGGATAGGACCCGAGCGTGTACCCCGTGTGACCGCCGTCTGCCGTTGACCACCACCGCGAGAAGCTGGTTCCTGGAGGAAAACACACCTGTGCCCCGCACGATGCGCCGACGATTCACGATCCAAGGACCGTGGATCTCTGGCTCGCGAACCACGCGTCGACATTCGGCCGTTTAGCCGAGGAGAGCTCGCAGTCACGGTAGTGAAACGAGATACGAGCACGATTGTAAAAGCGTTAATATGTTAATGAACGCGTGGGGGTCTTACCTTCGAGATTTCCATGTCCGATTACATCGCTTCTCGGAAACGAGTCGTCGCGTCGAGGTGTCGATCTCGATTCCAACCGAGTACGAAGCTGCGCGTGCTCCGTCATATTTCTTACGGTACGGCGCCGTTGCGCATTGTCTTCCATTCTCACCGACTTTTCTTTTTTCCTCTTTTCGCCAATGCGATCGCGCTAGATTCCAGCTACGAAACGTTTCAATCGCTCCGAACGCGGACAACTTCCTCGTCGGGACTTCTTTTTAACGTCGTACACGGAAGATAAGGATTCCGCGTTCGCTTGTCCGCTCTCCGTTATGGATCGGCGGGGGAAAAAAAAAGAAACCGGCAAGGATGCTCGATCCGGCGAAGAAAGGATTCGCAAAGGTCTTTCCTGGTCGAGTCTCTTCTCTAAGGAGAAATCGATTAACGAGCCCCGCGTACGAAACGGTCCAAGGAAGCCGCTGGTTCTCGCTTTGTCTCTCCTTTCCACCGATCGCTGCACCGACGCCGATTACGCGCCGCGACACGCGCGAATCACCGGTACGCGGAACCTCGCGTGTCCTACTCGGTATTAGCGATCCAGAGGAAAACGTACGTGCGATTATCCACGAGAGCGCGAGACTGGTGACAAGCAATTAGTACCGACAATTAGCGGCGACGTGTTCGGTGCCGATCGTGCCAAGGATAATTGCTCGCTTATCCGCCGCTCGTCTACTTTCAATGACGAATTCGCAAGTACTTTTTTGCGGCTCCCCGTGACGTTCACCTTCGACGCGAGGAAGAAAATGTTCCCTCGCGCGCCACGACTCGTCTTTCGCCTGTCTTTCCTCCTCGCGCGTCTCTTTCGTCGCTCCGATCATTCGTTGTAGCGTTTTCGGTCTCGCGGCGCGATCGACCGTCAACGATCTAGGAAAGACGAAAGGTTGGATGTGAAAGGAGAATCGGAGAATCGGCGACAAGGATCGACGATCTCGCGGAAAAGTGCCATTTACGGGGTAAAGCGGTGTAGAAGCGCGAGTGCGAAACCGAGGTCGTGCCTCTTCTCTCGAAATCGATTATCCGACGACGGTTGAACGTCGTCCGGACCGTAACGCGACGTCACCGTCGTGCTTAATGATCTCTGTTTATAGATTTACCGACAGGTGCGATAAATTCTACCGGCGCGTCACTGTTGCTACTCGGACGGCTCGTTACTCGCGACAATGGCCTCGGATTCGACGCGTCGTCCGTCGATGCGTTTCGTATCGGAACGTCTCACTTTTATCGCGGGAAAAAGGAAAAGCTTGCCGCATCTTCCGGCTCGCCCTCGAAACGACGTCCCGCTTAATTTACGCGCCGTTCCAGCAGGTGGGACCGTGCGGAGAAAATGCCTCGATTAAGGAGAGTAACGACGGCGGTACCGCCGTTCCACTTGATAAATAACCGTCGTTTTTCCTTTTTTCATTTTTCCTTCCTTCTTTTTTCGGACGTTCGCGAACGTATTATTCATCGAGACGCCGGTTTCGATGGGATCGGTGGCATTGACGGCACCCAAGTACCGTCGCGTTTTACATCTCGCCTGCCGTTAAAACGATAACTTATTGCTCGCCGTCCGACACGCTCGATCCGAGATTCGATTACGATAATAGCTTATTCGTTACCCGAATTCGTTTGTTACGATAAATCGTCGGGGAAATAAAGCGGACATCGAACTGTCGTAAAAAAATGCAGAGATTCTTTTTTCTGCTGGCCAATTAGTCCGATGTTATTTATTACCAGGCGGCGTTATCTGCCACTCGCGAACCAGGTTAAGCGGATTGCTTCGGCAATTACACCGATGTTTGCCGGCGTTAAACGAGCCCGAGTACTACTACCTCGACCGATTCGAGATCGCGAGTCGCACGCGACCACGATAATTGATCAATTTCGAAATTTATTCGTCCGGTGAGCAACGGACTCGCGAGGGATCGCGAGGGTGCGCGAGGGTGCGCGAGGGTGCGCGAGGGTGCGCGAGGACAATGCCGTGGCGAGGAGACGAGAGAACTCGCGAGGGTGCGCGAGGGTGCGCGAGGGTGCGCGAGGACAATGCCGTGGCGAGGAGACGAGAGACTCGCGGGACTCGTTAGATCGGCGAACGAGGGAGCAACCGGGCATTATTTACACAACGAAGGAGACATGCGCCAGTATCCACGGAGAATGCAAATTACCGACTACCATAAAGGACGATATGATGCGTGCACTGGTTGCTCGTAATGCACGACGTGCGCGGCATGCACGTGCAACTTCTCTACGATTTACGACCCAAGAATTAGACACAATAGGAACGACCGGCTCGTGTCTAATAACCGAGTTACGGCCATACTTGGCGGCCGATTAATGTCCACTGCCTCGAGACATTGCCAGAATCTACAAGTTCTCCGTCCAGAGGGATTCGTCCCCGCGTGATATCTCTCGTCCTATCGTCCAACGCTTTTTCTTCCCCCCGAAGAGATCGTTCTCGTTAAAACCTTATCGCGCGTACGTACCTGCTACGCCGAGACCTCGACGCGTTGCTCCGCCAACGTCTCCTCCGAGACCGTCAGCGTCCACGGTCGCGAGCGCGTATCGCGTTCCCCGTACGATCTTCCAGATCTCCGTTTTCGATCCAGTCGAACGGAGGAATCGCGTACGCCGGTCTATAGCCGAGTCTGATCTTTTCGCGCGATTTTAACGCGTTTTCGGCTCGTTTCCCTTTAATGGAAAGTGCCCCGGAGAGCCGCGGGCGATCGGTCGGCGTCTCGTGGCGCCTAGGAATTGCTAAATCAACGCCCGGGAAACGTTCGCGGCACCTGCCGAGGTCGAATGAGGCGACGCGTCCGCGCTTATCGAGACCACGATGATTCGTTAATCCGCGTGTAGGTCAGTCCGCGAGTCTGTGGACGGAGGCAGGTAGGAAAAAACTGCAGCGTCGCGCGCCAGCGTTAAACGTTTGCCGACAAAAGCGGCGCGCGTTACCTCTAATTACAGGCCAACGCGATTCCATCTTTGTCCGCGCTACTTTTACGAATTTGTACGTGTCGATTGTTCGGCTGGCTTACCCTTGACCGATCGAAATTCTCCGCTCGTTTCTGCGATCGCGCGTTCGCAACGCTTGTGCAACGCTCCGGTCGCTACTCGTGCCTTTTCTCTTTCTGCCGCACGCGTATTGCTCGGCAGCTTTGAAAAATTTCTTCGTCTCTACGTATCTCGAACCGGCTGTCTCCGAGTATACGCGTTTCCAGGCACGATTTCGCCTTGCGTTTCGGGAGAATCGTTGCGATCCGGAGGACGTACCGAATCGAAAGAAACGGTCGGGGTGCGTCGCGCTCGTTCGACAACAGGCTGTTACGTAAAGTGCTCGTTATGCAACGAATGGAACACGATGGAGATCGTACGGTCTCGTATCGGTATACGTCGAATCGTAAATTCCTTTCCGTTTACGCGATCGACGAAAAACCGCGCGCAAAGGTTAAACTTTCCGGTGCCGGATTGGAACGGGATTAACAGCGGCTTTTGTCTCGGCAGGAAATCTAGCCGGTGAATCACCGCGTCACCTGGGCCGCTATTAACGTCTGCCTATTTATAGGATGAAAGGAAAACCGACGTTCTTGGAGAAGTTGGTTCTCGGTATGGAAAAAACTCGGGACTCGCCGCGTACGCTTTATCATCCGCGATTTTCCGTCTCTGAGTTGCCCGTTGTCGCCAACGAGTCATACACGACCATGGTTTCGAATGATTTGCGGCATTTATTTCGCACGTTATTAAAATTAATACAATGACAGAAATATTTACACAAGGTCTTCTTACAACGTCTACATCCGCGATTCTTCTCAGTGTAATTAACCACGATATTAATAACATTACGACGACAACGTAATCGTAAACGTAATAATAATAATAATAATAATAGCAATAATAATAGTAATATTGATAATTGATTAGATCGGAGAACAGGGCGTGCCCGAGTAAAGGGGGAGATACGGCACGCCCTCCTGCGAGGGCCAACGATCGGACTAAACGCCACGCGAAGAATATAACGCGACACGCGAATAATTAAATACGATACCGGACAGAAAGTAGACGGAAATAAATAACGACGGATTGGCCTCGAGAAATGGCAAACCGGCTCGCTCGGGTGCACGCCCTTCTCTGCCATGGTAGCAAAACTATATTACAGGTCTCTATGATTTTCTTTGATTTTCTCAGAGGCAATCACGAATTCACGCGACACACTCACGCTCGATGCCCCGCGTCCACTCCTTCTCGCTTCATCCTCGCATCTCGCGACCACGAGAGTGTATCTCGCTCGCACGCTCGCTTTCTCGTGTCGCGCGTCCGCGTATCCCGGTGTGCGTCTCTGCATTTCGAAGGACGAACGCTCGCGGTAATAAAACGTTTCGTAAAGTCAAAAAATTCGATAACGATTCCTCGATCTACGAGGCTTGATTCCACGAAATAAACGTCGAGCGAAGCTGCTCGGACGGTCGCGCCGCTTCCATCACCGCGGCATATCCGATTCGCTCCAGGCATCCCCGCTGCTTCGTTTATTCGTCGTTTCGATCGTGCGCGCTCGTCTCTCCTACTCGAATATTCTCTCCTCTCGCGCTTCCATCCTCGTCGCTGTTTCCCTAAACAAGGCACTTTTTCTTCTTTCGCTCGAATCTCGCCGCGATTTCAAAGGGAAACGAACGAGTTCGAACAAGAGAACGAGCAACTACTACACGTGACTAGCATTTACGGAGCGTTCCCTTCGACCACGGAAGTTCACGCTCCACGAGATTTTTCAGCGTTCGCCCTCGGACTTGGGCTACTACGTCCATACGTATTGTATACGCTTCGATATCAGCGCCTTTCGTTTTCGCCGTCGCGCGGAAACGTCGCGACATCTAGCTAGACGAACGGCGCGATATTCTCTCGATCGTTTCGTTCGCGGCCAACGAAACACTCGGCTACGATTTATTCGACGACTAACAAAGAAAGAGAAAGAGAGAGAGAGAGAAAGAGAGAAAAGGAAAAAGAGGAAAAGAAAGAGAGAGGGAGAGAGAGAGAGAGAGAGAGAGAGAGAGAGAAATAGGATTGATTTAGTACTAACGGCAGTTTGCTCCGCGATAGATCCTACGTGGATGCATGGTGGGAGAAGGGAATAGGAAAAAGGTGTATGAAAGACGGAGATCCTTTCGGTGGTGGTGTGGCGCGATATCCAGCGCGTCGAGAGGATGCGATGCATCGAACGGATCTCTCCCCGAGAGACGCTATCGATCCAACGAGAAGAATTGGAGACGCCTAAAGCTAGTCTAGGCTCTCAATTTCGATCGATCGTCGGCGCGATTGGTTAAATCGTCCGTACGACTAACAACGTGTAAGGCACTGTTCAGACCAGAGAGATTTCCTTGCTCGTTCACCCGACTCTTCTTGGAAGCATCGATTCGTTCTCTCACCACGCACTTCCGTCGTGCACGCGCTCAGATTTTTCCCTGCTGGCGTAACGAACCCCATTATACGTATTTCCGCGGGGACAAACGAAAGTACGATTCACTCGTGTACCGCCGTGTACTTTCACGCTTCAGCGTCGATACACGCGAGATTCTTCGTCGCATCGCGCGTATACGTGCATACGTGTACATGTATATTTACAGGCAGGCGTACGGTTCGATCGCGTCGTACGACGTAAAAGACCGATACGCGACTATGCGACGCGCTTTTCTCTTAATCGTTTTTTAACGCTTTTAACACGGTTAAGGCACCCAGATTATCGGATTATCGATTTTTCGCGAGATCCGGCGAACGGACCTTACACAGGTAAATACGAGTTACCGCTATCGCGACGATCCATGCCGCGATCGATAATATTATGGCTAGGTTGGGCAAACTCGCCGATCAGCATCGAGTTGCTCGCGCGCCACTTTCCATGCATCGTTCGTTACCTACGTTCGCTGCTCTGCTCTCTACGATTCCGAACCGAGTCTGACATATGCCTGACATTTACCGGTTACGCAACGATCGCGAGCTCCGGCCCCACGCGGTACACCCGTCGAGTCGAGACAAGGCGAGGCGAAATGGGACGAGACGAAACGAAACGAAACGAAACGAGACGATCCAATCTTCTACGCTCGACGGTGCACGGACTTTCGTTTCGCGAGCAACTCGATGCATCGAACGCGCCCCGGTACGCGTTCTCCTCCTCTTCCAAGTTCGAAAAGACGGTCGGTCGGTCGATCGATCGGTATATCCGATCGTTTCTATGTACAACGATCGACAAAGTGTCTCCCCTTCCGTTCTTCCGTTACGTACTATAAAACCCTTGAAGCTCGACGCGCGAGTAGCGAGGTCCGGATATGACCGTCGTTTTTCGCTCTCGCAGAATCTCGGTCGTCCGAATTTATTTACAACGCGCGTCACGAACGATCGGTATCCAAACCAGGTTCTTCTTTTTCCCCCCTTCTTCCCTATCTACCGCCCTTCGGAACAACTTATTTACATCCGTTTTACAGCCGGGTATATCTGGTCTACCTTTCTCACCCCCGATAACGTTCGATCGGATACCGATCCCTCGTAAAGCTTACGGTATCGAACTACGTATACTGTACATCGCGAGGTAATATGTACAATAGATCCCGATGGATCCCGGTTCTTCGAAGCTGCTCGAGAAAGCCGTTCGCGCTCTCGCGTCTACGACGCTCCGTGAACCTGAAATCGTCGAATCCGTGCTTGCACCGATTCGCACTGCACTTCGCTGTATCTGGTGTACCTGCCGGCTCTGACGGGTTCGCGGATCACCACCAAGTTTCCGCCCCTCTCGCGAAGCGCTTCCAGACCGGACTTCCCGTGAACGGTGGGTGGCGTGAACGCCTTGCCGAACTTGGCGTTCGTGGTTTCCGACGTGAAACGGCTCAGAGCCTTGCTCACCACGCCGTTACACTCTCTCGGCCATACTCTCGTGTGATGCCTCTGTTCCCATCTGTCGGACGACGAATCCGACGTCGAGAACGGAAAACTGGCTCTACCCTGGCCCTTTCCGTACAGGATAAAGTCCAACGAATCGTCCGAGTAGATGCTGCTTCGATCGCTCGAGCTATCGGTCGAGATCTCGGAGACGGAGTCGCTGCCGCTGTCGCTGCACTGCTGTTCCTCGCCGAGGATGAACACCGGTGTACATTTGAATACCTCTCCGGCCGGCATCGTGTGCGTGGCAGTCGCCCTCCTCTGCGTACTACTCGTCACGTTCGTGGAAACCGTCGTGGTACCCGTGGACGAGACTGGCTCGATTATCACGATTTCCGCCCCGGAAAATTTCTGCGCCAAAGAATCCATGTTCCGTTTGAAGGTGTCCCTGCGATCCGAGCTCAGACCGAATCTGGCAGGTTTGGGCGACAGCTTCGACTTGGAGTAGAGATTCTCCGTGTGCGAAGAGACCGCTCGGTTCGCCGTAGGTTTCGTTTCCACCCCTTGACAAACGCTCAACGATCTCTGCTTCTCCGAGTCGTTCTTCGGAGTGGAGGACACGGACGTCTGATGTTCCGCGTTCGCGTTGGATTTCGAAAACGATTTCGTTTCCGACGAGGGCGACGAGGACGACGAGGACGACGAGGACGACGAGGAGGAGGACGAGGACGAGGACGAGGACGACGACGTGTCTGCGAGCGAGGATTTGTCCAACGCCGTGCAACTGGACACGGACAACGATGGCTGAGGATCGTCGAACATGCAGAACCATGGATGTTGCAGGCATTCCGTGACGGTCAAGCGTTCGCTGGAAGAAGAAGAAGACGAAGTCGTTATTTCGATAGTTGGATGGCGCGATTAGAAGGAGGGGTGGTGCATTGGTCTCCGGTAACGGGGCAGGCAACCAACCGGTTGCGTAACGCGCGGACATGGAAACGCGAACGAGTGAAAAGAAGCGAGGAAAAGGGAAGAAGAACTCGCGACGATAAAGCACGCTCTGGCACCGAGATAAGGCGTACTTTGGCGTTGGTAGGGCGCGGATATTCCGGAAGGGGACTTCCTCTCAGCTGTCCGACTGGTCGACGATAAGGAAATCTACGAGTTTTTCAGCGGAACTCGTTCGATGTGCCAACGTCCGTCTTCCCGTTTCGAAGAAAGTCGTCGCGCCGCGGTAGAATCACGATGGCTTTACTCGCACGTATATGCAGCCGTGACGCGATTCAGGAAGCCGAACGATCGAGTTTCGAGATCCAATGGTGGTAGTAGTTGGCCGAGGAAAGAGATGGCGCGTAATGGACGAAACCGAGTTCGTGTCTGACCTCGCGTTTATCGGTCGCGCGAAAAGGCGCCGCGTCTGGAAAGAAGAGCGAAGCGGTGGACGGATAAGTATTATCGAGGAACGTGCTACTAAGAATTCCGGCACTGGTGAAAATAATGCCTTCGTAGAAGCATGCCGGGCGATCTACCGAGAACGTTTACCGCTTACCCCGTTTACCTCGAAGGGAAAGAAGATAGCCCTGGCGCAGAGGCAGCGCGTGCATCTCGGGAACACGGTTAGTCGCGGGGGTCGCGTACGTTGGCATTATTATTTAGCTTCTAGGAACGAAAGCAATCGCGTTACGTGGTTGGATCGCGACGCTGCAACGGCCACGCCGATCGTAAAACCAGTCGCTTTTCGTCCGCCGATAGAGAAGATTTCGAGGGAACTCGATCGACGCGAAACGGACTTCGTACCCTGTCGTTACTCACTTTGGATCCTTGACCATCAGCTTGCGCATGAGATCGCGAGCCTCTTCGGACACGTCCTCGAACAGATCGTCGGGGAAATCTAGGCGACATCGGCTAATGTTGCAGAACGTTTCCTGCTTCGTGTCACCTCCGAACGGGGAACATCCCGTTAGCAGCACGTACAGCAAAACTCCGATGGACCACATGTCCGTCGCCAGGCTGATAGGCTCGTAGTTCAACACCTCTGGAGCTGAAAAGACCAACGAGACGCGTCTTGAATACACGCGCTCTCTTTCTCTCTCTCTCTCTCTCTCTCTCTCTCTCTGCTTCGCTCTCCTCTCTGCCGATCGAGGCAGGGAAGGAAGCGTCGAAGCACGCGTAACGAGGAACGGATCGTGGGAACGAGTGAGCCGGTAACGTCGCGTTGCCCAACGGCATCAGCTTCGTTAGACTCGGGTACGACCGTTTCGAGACCCCGAGTGGAAAGTAATCGCGAGAGTAATCGCGAGACGGTCGTAAACGGGGGTCCTTCTCTCGGTCGACGCTCGTGGTCGAGCCACGCGTGGCTTTGCTGCCTGCTCGAAAAGTGGCTTGCTCTGTTCAATTATGCAACGGTCCCCCTGTTTCTCTAATGGAATTACGCGATACGAAACGAGCCGCGAACTCGATTTCGTCGCGCGAGTGCTGGGGGGCCAATGCTCGGGCCAATGCTGGGTTGGCTGGAGTTCACCACCTGGCGACCAACCGGCCCCCGTCTAACGTCGTCTAACTCTCTCGACCTGGCAAAGGTATAGAACGAGTACAGAGAGAAAGAGAGAGAGAGAGAGAGAGGAGCAACTTACCAACGTAATCGGGCGTGCCCAGAATCTCCCGTATGTCGGCGCCATGGCTGATGTACCGCGAGATACCAAAGTCGCAAAGCTTGACGTCGCAGTCCGGAAACTCGCCGGTCAGGACCAGATTTTGAGGCTGAAAGAAACGGAGAAAAGACAGGATTAGAGAAAGGCTGCGATCGAGAAGCCGCGAATGAGGCGGGATTACGCGGGAAAAAGAGAGGATTGTTCGAAGATCGGACGGTGGTCCGACGACAAACGCTTTCGAGAATCCCCCACCGAACGGGAACGAAGACAAAAGAGCTCGTTATTTTCTTTCGCCGTTCCGTATAATTGCTCGCAGCAGCTCGCGAACGCTCGGAAAGAAGACGAAACGATCGTATTTTATCCCGTTGGAGGCAAAGCGTCGTCCCGATTAACCGTACGATGCGATCTTTGCTCTGGCCCGAGCAGCTCCCCAACGGTTAACACCGTTTCATATTTTAGCCGCGACGTTTACAGCGAGAATAAATTATTTAGGCCGATCTCGCGGTCGCAATTATCAAGTAGCTAGGAGCCTTTGATAGCGAGAGAAACGTGTTCCCGGCAAAAGTTACCGGACGCAACACGGTTGCTGGCGTAGCGAGCAACACGCATCGGGGCAGTTCTTTCCACCGATCGTACCAGGGTTTCAACCATCATTACATGCCTCGTGCCTACGCGATCCCACTTAATTAAAGGTATTTAATAAACGACGATTCACCGATGCGTTCGTCACGTAATCGGGGTAATTAATCGTTCCACCGGCGCGAGTACTAGCGCTCCTTTTTATCCTCCTCGGCCACCTTTTCTCTCGCCGTTCCATTCCATTCCATTCCATTCGAATCGATTCGACGCGAGTATATTTCGCCACGCGAAGGCGTATATAAACCGATTCGGCCCGATTCGCGTCATTGTCCCGCGCGTATCGGGACGATTGTCCTCTCGCGAGGAGTACGCGAGAAGAATGGAGCGGAAAACCATCTGGTCGCGTAGATCGAGAGGTAGGTCGCGTTACGAATCGCGTCGCGATCCGTAGTTAAGCGGGTCGATGAATAACGCGCCGTGGCACTTGATTAAAAGTATGGAGTAAAAGGCGAGATTCCCGAGGTGCTCTCGCCGCGTGCGCTAGGTAATCGGTTCAATTAATCGCGACACTCGAGGACTCGGTCGGTTCACCTGGGCATTTAATAAACCGCCTCGATAACGGGCACGCTGTTTCGTTGAACCGATCGGCCGCGATGGCCGCTGAAAACGTAATCGTCGCTGTACGCGCCGGGGAGGTCGTAAACCGGTCGCGTATCGTTGACAATAGACCAACGACGAACTTTCGTTCCTCCCTCCTGTTTTCCTTACAGGGAACCGCGCCGCTCCGTCTCCGCGCCCTGGCCGCGCGCAGCAGCCGAGCATTGTTCGATTGTTTCCAGAGGAAAGAGTTCTCGAGAGGGGGAGGAGGAAAAAATGATCGAGAAAGGAGCATGAATCGTTCGGCTAGGCCGCGCCACGACCTTTCTTATCGTCGATCGTTCGCGTTCGCGTATCGAGAGTCTTTGGGTAACCGTTCGAACCAGACGCCCACGCGTCCTCTTTCGCGATTCGCGCAGCGTGCCCACGCGTTTTCGATCGTCGCGAGGGAACCGAGCCGATGGAACTCGTTTCGCGTGGGTCACGAGATTTCGGCGCGTTAGCTCGCGATCGTCGAGCGAATACCGCCGTTGGAAATTTCGAGGAAGAAACGCGATTGACGAAAAATCGGCGAATCACACGAGCGCGCGCGCGAGGAAGAAGAAGAAGAAGAAGAAGAAGAGGGTAGGGAGCAACTATGGCGTGCACGGTCGTTCCGCTCGAGGATTCGGTTTGCGCGTTACGTTTCGTTATACCGAGTTACGAGTCGAACGTGACCAGACTACTGCTCGGCGTCGAAAAGCGTTGCCGTAAAGTCGAGGTCGTGGGACGTTTCGCCTCGTTCGACCAGTCCTACGCGACCACGATTCTCGCGCGTAACTCCGCGACACCAGGCTGATATTCGAGCCGTCCAGCCCGTTTGGAAACGGGCTCGTCCGAGTCCCGGAAGTCGTTCAATGAGGAACAAAGATATTTCCATAATTAACCATTACCGAGTTCCCGTGTCGGACGAGTTTCGCCGACGAGTTTCGCGAACGAGACGAAAGAAACGTAGGCGTCGCGATCGATTACCCGCGAATATCGTCTACGTCGGCCGAGATGCGAGGATGATCGTCGGAAGTGGACGGAGGGGAGGGATCGAGTCGGCTCTCGGGCAGCTGGATTTAAGGGTTCGGTTACGTTCTCGCGCGACGTATCGATCGACCGATCGTGCGTCTAGGAAAGTGTAACAGGTGAGCCGGTTCTCGGTGCACGGTCTGTCGGATGTCGTCGTTTAACGTAACACGGAGCGGTGGCAAAAACTGCAGGAAGGACGCGAGCCATTAAGTCAGGGTTATCTACCTTTTCGAGAGAGAAAAACGTCGCTCCGGGTAATTCTCACGATGCCGCGCATCCGACGCGGCCGCGTGTTCGCGTTCGAGGTCGACGATCGAATTTTCTCGATTAGAACCTCTCTCTCTCTCTCTCTCCCGCTCTCTCTCCTTCTCTCTGCCCATCTCCCCCTACGCGGAGAGCAACGGAATGCGAAACACGCGCGGGAGCGTCTGCGCGCGGTTGGACGGAGCGAGCGCAGAGCAAGCTTTTTAGCCAACGGACAACGAATTTACGAGGATCCGTCTCTCGCGTTCATTGAAACTTCCGGCGGTCGAGAAAAGGGGGAAGCGACCCTACGCTCGGCGGCCAGACACGAGATCGCGTGGTGTGCGTGACCGTCGGACGAACCGTGTAACTCGTCGACTGACAGCGTAGCGTGGCGGTGTGGTCAGCGTCGCGAAAACGCGCGCGTTTTTATCCTCTCGATCCGATCCGAACGAGATCCAAACGGACGAGCAACGAAAAGAGACGAGCGCGAAAGAGGAAAATCGACGTCGCGAATCGAAACGCTGGAAAGCACGATGGCACGGTTGCGAGCTAGACGCGGATACGAAAGAGGGACGGAGAGTCGGCGAGACGGCGAGATGTACAGAGAGAAAGAGAGAGAGAGAGAGAGAGAGTAGGGAGAGAGATCGGTCAGTCGCTTTTCCCTCGACTTGTATGAAATATCGATTACTTTTTTCCGCAAGCCGTATCGCTGGTTCGGTCGGAAGGCGCGTCTACGAGGCGGAGCTCGGCTATCCCATTAAGAGGCCGATGAATCGATTTCATCGAACGCGCGCCGTGCTGCCTAATGAACGAACCCCGGTCGACGCGTTGGCCAAGCATCGATCGAGGGAACGAGCGAGCCACTCACTGACCATGGCAGAAATGGAATTCTCGGTACGAGCTCGCTCCTCCGACTATCGAGGCTAGCCGAGAGTTCATTGATGAATCTCTCCCTTTCTCTCCGGAGGTCGATCGCCTCTCTTCCTTGGAAAATCCGTTGAAAAACTCGCGGTCCGTTCGCGAGAAAGCCGAGAATAACGGGTCTGGCTGTCGCGCGCAGCCTCGTACAGCGATTTCGAACAAACGCGATTATCGAGACGACGGCAAAGCGAAGACGACGTCGATCGTGTGCGACCGGTCGCGTCGTTTTGCACGGACTACGAAGCGCGGAACTAGTCGCGATATTCCGCGAGCAAAAATAGCTGCCTCCGAAGGAGAACGATACGCGAATCACGCGATATCGCGGATCGCGTGATCGATTATAGCCGAAACGGTGATTTTCCAGCAAACGCGAAACCGACTTCGACGTCCCGGCGCCAGAAACCTCGTGGACGTCGGCCAACGAGGCGCGTTGGAATCGGGCCAAAGAATTCGCGTGCATTTTTCCATTCATAAACGCGAGATCTATATTTGGGTCAGGCATATCGCGTGAATTCGTGGCACGGCGGTATTTTAAGATGAACCGGAGTGCAGCGGCGTCCGAGCATCGCGCGTGGCATCGAGAGTTGGTTCGCGGTAGTGGCGATCGAAGCGAGAGCGATGACTTTGCGAACAGCGAGCGCGTCGAAACGGAAAGTTTAAAAACTGGAGTATATCGTTTTTCCTTTCGAAACGGGAGCGCGATCGTTTCTCTATCCGGCCACGCTCTCGCGATCTCGAACGGCGCGCACGCGCGCGTCGTTGAAAACCACGCCGATTGAATAAAAAGGAAACCGCCGGGTTTGGCCAACCCCGGGTCAACCGTTCGGAAACGCGTTTTCGTCGCGTTTCGTTTCGATCGCGAGGGGAACGGCGTCGCGCACCGGTTCGCTGCTCTATCGCCACCCCCCCTGTGGGGCGCTGCCCGATCGAACGGGGAGGAGACTACGCGTCGTTTCATTTTCCGAGCTTTAAACGACCCGCGTGCGCGCGTGCGCGCGAGCTACTTTCGCCCGTGAATTGGAAAGCGCTTCTGCTGCTATTCCATCGCGGCGAGTTGCGAGATAAACGGTTAAAACGAGAACGGGAATACGTTTCGCGTAGCTAGAACGCGCGGAATTATCTTATCGTTGGGAAAACATCGCGATAATTCTGGCGGATGCGTAATCGTCGGTGTCGTCGGTGGAAGAGAAAAGAGAGTCGATAAGGGGAGGACGCGAGAAGCGTTTCGAGTCGAGTCACGCGTCCAGCCACGATTTAACGCGCAAAATCGACGATATTTTATCGCGATCGCGATCGCGTTTTTCCCTCGGTAATTTAATTTGCCACACGATCGCCGGCTCGCAAAAGCGAATTTAACAGCGTCGCAGCCTCTCTCGCTCGTCCATAATTTAGTCGCGTACCCGGTAACCTGCATCCCCGCAAATTGCTATCAATTTGCGAAAGGTGGGTAATTGGGTTGCGTAACCGCGATCATAATCCGAGCCGCGTTAAGGGGAATAAAAAAGGAGGAAGGCTGAAATATGCGACCCGCCACGTGTGTCGCCGAAGGAATATTATTAATACGCCTCGAGTTGTTCGCCTTGGCTCACCCATATCGATCACATCGATAATCGATAAACACGTACTCGTATACCTACGCCTCGCGTTTCCTCGCGTCTTTGTAGCGCGGCGCGGCGGAGCGCCGTTCTTCCGAGCTGTGTCGCGACGCGACGCGAGCGTCGAAAATTGCCAATGGTCGCCGCCGCCACTGCCAAATGAGAAAAAAAAAGAAAAAAGAAAAATCTTTGGTAACTGGTCGCGCGTGTTCCCGGGGTTTCGCGACGCGCGCGTAAAGCGTGCCTATCGATCACCTCCGAGATCGATCGTCGTTCTCCGGCGCTGCGCGTAATTTCGCTCGATTTATCGACAAAATCGGCAGATTTATCGAGCGATAAAATCGCGGTAATTATGGAAATTCGCTGGTTCGTTTGCAACCGCGTTTGCGCGAACCGAGACATTGTTTCGCCGACGTCGGCTCTCGTGGCCGAACGGGAAAGAGAGGCAGAGACGGATCTCGTTGCCCTTTCCTCCGCCGTGTAATCATTCTCGGGACGAAAAAGCCAAGAGGAGAGGGACGCATCGAGCTATTTTCGAGTCAAAGTTTCGCGGCGAGACGGGACTCCCTCGTGGTTGCTACGGAAATAATTCCGAGTAGGCAGAACACGCCGTATCGCTGCCAGTTTAGCCGGAATTCCATCGCGGTGATTCTTTCTCCTTCGCGCACGTGCCATCCACCACAGCGATCGCGATATTTTTATTTTAACCTTACGATAACGAAAGCTTCGAGGAAAAAATGCGTCCCCTTCTTCGCTGCATTCCAACGAGAGCGTCTCCGCTTTCTAGCAAATATTTGAATTCGCGAGAAAGTTACTTTCCGAGACAACCGTGTCGAACCCGACGCGCGGGAAAACGTCGAATTAATGCGACCCTCGTACTTGCCGCCTAGCAGGTCGCGCCACGCCGAAGATCGATCGATCGATCGAGCGATCGATCGACGTGGCCCCGTTACCCATGCGAATCGCATAGCGGCCGCGCCGAGGAAAACGCTCTTCGCGTTCTCGACACGGAGGTTTTGGCAAACCTCGCCCTGTTACACGGGTTACTTTTACGTAACGATTTAGGTCGTTTGCCGCGTCGCGTCGTCGAGAAATTGCCAGCACCGCTCGAAACGTCGTCGTCGTTGTCGTCGTCGTCGTCGTCGTCGTCGTCGTATCGTTGCCAACCAACCAGTTTCCTTTCATCGACGCTCGGCGTGTTCGAACTTCGAGACTAGCCGCGAAATACCTCTGATTTTCCTTCGAGCATTCCCTCTCTTTTTCTCTGTCCGTCTGTCTCCCGAACGGAGGAGAACGGGAAGAGAGCTGTTCGCTTGCCGATTCCTTCGCTACGTTTTTCGTCGCGCCGGGAAAAACGAAGATAAGTATTATTTGCAGAAACGAACATCTACCGGGGCTCTTATCGAGCTGTTCGTTGTTTTTAACGGCCGGGAGATAAGAGAGTCGAGAGACTCTCGACCGGAATATTCTTCCGTCTGTCAACCTCGCGCGAAACGAGCACGGGAATGCGAAAGAGCAAAGCGACGAATATGAATCTCGAGGCTCACCTTGATATCGAGATGGGCCACGTTCAGGGAATGCAGGAAGGCTATGCCGTCCAAAATTTGTTTCAGCAATCTGGCAACCTGTCGCTCTTCACTTCGTCTCTGTCCAGTATCATTTGCAACTCACCACCGGGAGCCCTTCGAACAGAAGAGGCGTGAGAGGTGTGTTTGCGCTTACGAGTAAATCGAACCTCGAAACGGAGGATATCTCGCGCGATACTCGTGCTACACGACTTACAATTCCAATACCAGCACCATCTCCGTGTTCGTTTCGAACACCTGATGCAGGGACACCAGGCGGCAGCAATTCGCCGCGGCATCCAGCACCGCGACTTCGTGCAGCGCTTCCGCCCTCAATTCCTGCGCTCGTCTCCTCTTCCTCAGAAACTTGGCCGCCCATTGTCTTCCGCTGGATCTCTCCCGACATCTCCTCACCGTCGCGTATTTGCCTCTGCGAAATGAAGGAAAAAACGCGCGTTAGAAATGCACAGGGCAAGCTAAAAAGTGCGAAAGGAGCGTATTTTGTCGCGGGCGAGCGTGACGATGAAATACGTCACGAGTGTGAAGTAACGTTGCGCGAGCGAGTCGTACGCGCCAACGCCGTACTTTCGCTCTTCCATTAACGATCGCGGCCGCGGACTCGCCGGTGCTCGCGCTCCTCTAATTACCTTCCCTCGCAATTACACGCGCCGTATGGAAATTCGGTGTCGGAGAGTTCGATTTCGCGTTTCCATTTTCCACTCGGCGATCCACTCGCTGGCAACGAGCGATCTAGATCATGCGGCCGCATCGGAGCACGATCGTCGATACGAAGCGTGCCGAAACGGTTCGCCGTAATCCGATGATCTAAACAGCCTCTAGAAAGCGAAGTTGCGCGGCCAACGCTCCTGCTGCCGCCGAGCGACTCTTTCGATTCTCGGCCTGCGCGCGGCTGCTAGTCCTGGCGAACAACGGTGAAAGCATCGCCTTTAGTCGCACGAGCCTCGGTTTCTTTTTACCACGCCAATCGGGATCGGATACGCGAATTCGAAGCCAACGCCGAAACGGGCTATCGAAACGAACGCGACGGCCAGGGTAAAAGCGGCGACAACGGCGCGACGCGACGCGACGAGGCGAAAGGATCGATGAACGAACGTCGGTGTAAGCGTGATTAGGGAGCATTGTTACGAGGTCGGTATCCCACGGAGTAGTAGGATCGGGGAACGAGACGAGAAGCCCCGCTTGGCTCGTCAACGGTCAGGTATTCCTGTTCGGGTACGTAAGCGGCGCGGTTGCTCCGCGTGGATACTTCCGAGCGGAAAGCACGCTGCGCGTCGCTTTAATTATCGGCGACCATAAAACTGTTAACGACCACGTTGATTCTGTAGTCGGAAAAATTTTACGGTGCCGAGCAGCGTGAGATCATCGATGCAATTATCGGTGGCATTAGCCTGGATCGACCAGCTTGCAGAGGGAGCACACACGCGCGGCACGTACAAAAACTCGCGATACCTTCGGTGATAAAGTTTGTACACAGTTCGCGTGCGCTCGGCTTCGACATTTTTCTAGCTCGGTCGGGTTATCTTCGCCGCGCGGCGTTCCGAGTATCGGCGTCGACGCTTTTCGCTCGATAAACTGGTTGCGAGATCGACGTCGCGGAACGGCTTACTCGTGTCTCGCGATAGGTCTAGCCGGCCGATCTCTCCCTCTCTCTCTCTCTCTCTCTTTCTCTCCTCGTGACGAGCGAGTACCACGGTTCGTCTAGGTATGTAGGTTGGCAAATGCCAATAGCTGTCGACGATCGTGCTCGCACGGACCAGGTATCGTACCGAGTTCTCTTATCCGCGTTCTAATTACGGACTGTTACACCGTCCAACCTATCCGTCGTTCCATCGGATCACCCTCTGCACGAAAAACAGAGAGAGTTAGAGAGAGAGAGAGAGAGAGGAGCGACGAACGGCAGGGCAAGCGGGAAAGATGGAGTAGCGGGTGGAAAGGGAACTGCTGGAAACGAACGATATCTGACGAAATCTAACGCCTTGGGGGGGAAAGGCGATAGTTTTCGGGGAACGAGATATCGCGATGATAATCGGAGGTTATTTCTCGACTTTCGTTTCCCCGAGATTTACGTTTCGTTCGCGATAGGCGAATTAAAGCCGCGTGCCACGGTCGTTCGCTGTTTGCCCTTTGGAAACGCAGATCCGATACGGCGGTTCTCGAGGTTTCGATCGGGACACGAGTGGCTGGAATTCGATCGCGAACAAAGGTAAAGAACTCCGACGTCGGTTTACGTAATAAACGTAAACGCTAGGAAACAAGTTCAGAAGTGGAGGAAGTGAACGCGAAGCGAATGCGCGCGTCGTGGCTGTATTGCCATGCGCGTGATCTCGATTTCCCTGGTCGAGAGCCCAGGTCGAACTCCCACGCTCCGTTGTTGCAGCGCGCGCGTATGCACGATTCTCGCAAAGATCGCGCGCGCCTTCTTCCGACCGATTCGTCTCGGAAACGCCCACGGTGCGATAACGCGCGATCCGCGATCGAGCCACGCGTGACCTCAACGTTCATCCGACGAATTACCGCGACCCAGAGTCGCGGCCACGAGACGGGCAAGTAACACCTGCGACAGGGATGGCCGCGCGAACGTTACGCCGGTGAAGAAATTCCTCGTAACAGCGAGGAGGCAGCTGCGAACGGTAACCAACAGGTGGTAGGATAAATCGAGGCCGAAATTTTACGCGCGACCGTTACCCACTCGATCAACGAACCCCCTATTCCTCGCCGGAAGCCGCGCGCCGTTCGCGAAAGCCAGTCCGGCGAAACTTTCGCGTCCTCGTGGCGAATCGAGATTAAAGAACGTACAAGTCGCGAGAGGCGAGTAAAACGAGATCGATAACGAGTACCGGTGTCAGCTCCGGCTCGGATTTCTCCGCGAAAATACTAAGTACGGGCTGCGAGACCCGTTGGAGGTTAATTACGCGAGAGCGTCGAGTGCCGACCTTGAAATGTATCGCGACGGAAACTCGACTTTCGTCTAAGCGAACGCGGACTCGCGCGAGCGTGACCATCGACGACGAGGAGATCAGAGTGGACGACACGCTTGTTGAACCGCGCGCGTAACGCACGATTCGCCCCCATTCGCGTAGCCCGTATTCTCCTCCGCGAGAGCTTTTTCGCGAAAGAGAGCGAACCGTGAAATCGCGCGAGAAACTAAACTCGCGCGAATCGAGAACTGGAACTTGCGCGATCGTTGAAAGGAGAGGTGGTCCTTCTACGGCGGCCATGGAAGAAAACGAGCCCGATCAACGGGTTCCGAGACGCGAGAAATCACGGTACCTAGACGGTTGCCGTTCCCCGGCGCTTCGGATTTCTCCGCGGAAATGTAAAGTAGCTGCTTGTCTTTCCCCCGTGTTCTCCGATAGCCGGCAATCTCTCTTTCTCGTTGGTCACCGATTTAAGAGCGCGCGAGAGCCTGGAGCGCACGGATCGTTAGTCCTTTAACCCGTTTGCGACGCGCGGCGCGCGTTTGTTTCGCCGGAGACGCAAAGACGGAAAGCCGGTAAACGACTTCCTCGGATAACGTCGGCCGAGAGCAAGAAATCGATGCGCAATTATGTACGCGGCGTCGTTAGATTTACCGCGATTTACGCGATTTTTCGCGCAAAGCTGGCCAGCTTCTGTGAGAAAGGAAGGCAAATCTTCTCGGGGTGCGGCGGTTTTTGTCGCGTTAAAGTCGTTAAAGGATAAACGAGAGATTTGCCGGAATAGCCAGGTGGCAAGAAATCCCCTTCGCGGAGGTCTAATCGCGAGGCGCGCGTTAAAGCGACGCGCTCGCGATCCTGTGGACCCGAGTTCCGAGAAGGAAACGAAAGAACGGAATATCTCGAACGGTGCGCGATCGCTGTCAAGCGAAGCCGCATAGAGAACGAGAGAGAAAGAGAGAGAGAGAGAGAGACTTGGCGGGATAATTCGGTGTACTCGGTAGGTACGCGTCTAGCACCGCAAAGCGGAAGAGCAACGCCGATCGAGGGAATCGTCGCGCGGCGTGTTTGTCGATTGGCCAGGAGGCAGGACGGCATCGTCGTGCAACGGTTCGAATTTACGAGCTCCTCGAACCACGAATAGCCGTCAAAGTCGTGGCTGGACGCGCGACGAAAGTATACCGAGCAGGAAACTGGACCGCTGTCGTTCCACTGCCATGCGTCTACGGTTAAAGAAACGTTTCCTGCTCTTCGATCCGCGAGACCGATACCTTTGACGGACAACGAGACGACGGTAGTTGCCCGGAGATTGACTCGGCGCGTTAACGAGAAACCGGAGAAAGAGACCGTACTCGCTTTCCAAGCGTCGCGTATCGTTCGCGATGGCGTCGACGACGGAAATAATCCGCGGGCGCCATGCGGAATAGTTTGGCGGACGATTTCGCGAACGACCGCGTTTAATATTTAACCACGCAACGATACTTTCGCCGTGTTTGTTTCTCTTAAGCAGCGCGGCGGCCGCGTTGTTATTTCTCCGACGAGTCTCCGGCATCCGCGCAGGACTAAAAGCGTAGTTAGGACCTGGATCGTTCGGTCGCGGATGGATCGCGATGGATCGCTCACTCGTTTCGCACGATTCTCACTCGTTCGAGAATCGATCGATCGCGATTCCCTCGAATCTTCGGTTTCACGGACGATCCACGATTACCCCGCGGTTTCCAGTCTCGTCGACTTTTCCGCGAGGCGGAATGCAAAGTTCTAACCGAGACTGAACGCGGTAGTGCCGCGAACTCCATAGAAAGTATACACTTTCACCGTGGTGGGTATCTCTCTCTCTGTCTCCTTCTCTCTCTCCGCAGTGCCGGATTCGTCCGAGGCGCGTCGAGGCGTCTCCGTGGAGCTTTTGCGCGCGTGGAACGGAGCAGAGGAGAAGAAGCGTTGCCGGAGCTCGTGACCGTGTCCCGTTTACGGTGCATTTCGCGTGGACGTTTCTCGGGGACGTTCCTCGGACGAGAGACGTTTCGACGAACGTTTCGGTGGTGGCGCGGCTCCTTAACGGGAAGGAAGGCTGCCGTTCGCTTCCCACGACCACGAGGATCAACCGCAAAGTTCGGAATGGCGCGTTACTTAAAACTACCGAGCGTAGTAGACCCATTAAAACTATATACGTAGCCTGGTGTAAGATCAACGACCCAGGGTCAAGAGGAGAGAGAGAAAGAGGGAGAGAGAGGTAGGGGAGTCGAGTAGAGCGTTAAGTGCTCGTTGCCCTCTGGTGTATAATAGCGTGGCGGACCAGGAAATCGGTGCTGCTAACACCGGGATCGGAGTCTACGCGTGGTGCAACGCAACCTTGCGTATCCATCGTCCTTTAAGGCATCCATTAGCTTCCTAACTACTAAACACACCACCGGTCGGTCCGACGACCCCGTGTGGCTTCGACCCACCGTCCGGTCTACGGGCAACCTTCTTCCACCTCTTCACCGAAGGAGTTTGC